ACCCACTGAGAGGTGAAATTATTAAATCAACAGTAACATTACAACTATGTAGAAGATAATCTACCAGGAGCACATGACCCACTGAGAGGTGAAATTATTAAATCAACAGTAACGTTACAACTATGTAGAAGATAATCTACCAGGAACACATGACCCATTGAGAGGTGAAATTATCAAATCAACGTAACATTACAACTATGTAGAAGATAATCTACCAGGAGCACACGACCCACTGAGAGGTGAAATTATTAAATCAACAGTAACGTTACAACTATGTAGAAGATAATCTACCAGGAGCACATGACCCACTGAGAGGTGAAATTATTAAATCAACAGTAACATTACAACTATGTAGAATATAATCTACCAGGAGCACATGACCCACTGAGAGGTGAAATTATTAAATCAACAGTAACATCACTATGGCAAATATCCCCCTATGAGGCAATCTATGGGGGAGGCTTATAGGTATAACTTTAATAGGCTGTTACGGAAACGGTAACGGTCACAAATATGGACTCGTTGATTGACCAAAATGATATCAACTGAATAATAGTCTTCGCATTAAAACTTTGTTTATAAATCTACAGTAATAATAATAATAATGTCCTCCAGACCGAATTTCGGTCACTGCGACCGGCCTCAATGGAGTTTGGCTATCGGTGCAGACAAGGATTATAGTGCCAGAGTGTATACGCAAGCACAGGTGCATTCTCTATTCCATCACTCTCATAATCCGATGGGACGGTAAACCAACACGACCGGTGAGAGATCAGGTGCAGGACCAACGGCTTTACGTGCTTTCCGAGGCATAGGGCAAAGACACCGCCAACTATCTGACTCCGGGCAGCTAACAAGAATTTCTTGACGGAAAAACTCAATAATTGATTTTTTAGCCCGACCCGGGATTCGAACCCAGGACCTCATGATCAGCAGTTGCACTACTACAACCATTAGACCAACGAGGCAGTCAATAGTTATAATAAAACATCGCCAAAAACTTAGTAAAAGCAAGTTAGAGAGAATGAAATCCGTAAAATTACTTCTATTCCATGTGTTACCTAATATTTACCTTTTAGTTACGAGTACCTAATATTCACGAGAAGAAGTTATTTCACGAAATGCGTTTATTTGGTTTTATTTTTTGTTCTTAATGGAATTTTAAATATAATAAAATTTGATTAAATTACATAACAATAGTAATCAAGAGCGATACCTTTAACAGCGCTTGAATTCATTAAAAGGAGGCGTTAAGAAAACTTGAATGGAAAATCAAAAAACTTGTTTAACTTTACTACAACATTAAAATAGTTTTTGTTAACAAAAAAGGTTAAAACTTGAAGTAAATTTATAAACGAACAAAAGTCCATAGCTAATAATGTCGTCTACATCGATTTACGGTCATGGCGGCTATTCTCTATAGAGAATAGCTATCAGCGCGTAACAGGATTATAACATGTACACAAGCTCAGGTGCACTCTCTATTCCCTCACTCTTAAAGTCTGATGGCACGGTAATCCGTCGCGAACGGAGATAGAATATGCGCAGGACCAACCGCTTTACGGACTTTCCGAAACAGGGAGGTGAAATACTGCCGACTCCCTGATCACGGACTGCTAATAAGAATTTCCAGACGGAAAACCTATCAGTCAGAATCAGCAGTCCCTTAAACGACCAATACACCAACAAGGTAGTCCATAACAAGTATATAAATTCAAAAAAATGTGTGTCAATTGAAAAATATACATGAGAAATAGATATAGTAGTACGTTAAAATTAAATTATTAAAATTATTACTTACTCATCTGCGCTGGCAATAGCGAGATAAAAGATCAAGGCGATCACGCCGCGGAGCGTCATCTTCGACAATATTAATTTGCTCTACAATAATCCCTATGGAATCAATTGACTTATATACTCAGTGGACGTTTGCTTTACTAGTCAAATACCGCAGGCTTGCTGCGCTTATTAATTCTCACATTGGACAGACTACAGTGCCATCTATTGGATCCTAGACTACAAACCATTGTCTCGACAAAACAACTATGTAATGTATTAAACTGTATTAATTATGACCACAATCGCTGAATATAGAGCAACACGCGCCACCGGCGGACCGGAAGGGAGTAGCCTCTAGGATAATCTTCTTTCTTTGGGCCTGTAAAGAACTTCGCACTCGGCACCCTTTTCTTTCACTCTGATGATGTATGTAATCATAAAAGGAAAAAAAATGAACCTAAACAAAAAGATTGCCTACCCCGATGATATCGTCAAAGGTCAATGTATTTTTTTCCGCCTGCCCTAGAAACGTACTATAATAAGATTTCGTATTTTGTAAATAAAAATTGTAACAAAATTAAGTAATGTGTTTTATTATGTAGTGGATACAATAGCACTGATAATCCGACGCACACGCCGAGGAAAAATAGACAATGACGGTGTTCAATGAACAATAGATAAAAACAATGGGACGCTAATGACGGTGGGGGCCCTCACCGGATATTAATTAGATATTAGTAAATTGATCTGCACATCTCCGGAACCGTGCATCCTACGCAAAAACGGACAGCAGATTCGACCTTTCTGCAGACCTTTTTTTAGAATCGTGAATCGACGAACGTTGTACCACTTCTGACTCAGTGAGCCAGAACTGGTACAACTTAACTACTGGGGACTTTATAAATATGTAAAAGAAAAAGATAAATATACATAAATATACGTTAAATATGGTAAAATAAATAAACAAAATACATAAATTAGTAAAAACCCAACCAGGTATCAGGTAGACCAAACAATCAAGTATTAGGGGAAAACAGACGGAACCCGGAGGAGCACAGTCTTCTGCATGTGAGCCCGGAGCGGTCCGTCACGGATTCTCAGTCACCTTAAGCGACCCGACAGGCCGACCGGAATTAGCCCGTTCGCAGAAACGACTACAGGAATAATTTTCGGTCGCCATACCACCCCACAGGCAGAACACCTCGTGAGCCAGGTCGATATTTTGTTTGCATATCTGTTTCTGCTTTCGCGAGGTTTTCGTCATACGGAATGATAATGTTGACCAAAAATATCCCATCCGTATCCACAGTCCATTAGCACTATATCAGGCTTATTCGCGAGAATAGTCCTTTCTTTGATGGTGCCCCGGTCGCGACGCAGTCATTTTCAAGCACGTCTTCCGGCCAGTGTTTATAATATGGCGGTTTCTGATCCACGAGACCGTATTTCAGGGCGAGCTAATTATTGGTTAAATTATTATTACATACCTATTTCCATAGTGAGAGCTTCATTTGATTAATCGTTTTGAAAAATCCAACGTTCTGGTTGTTTGATAATGGTTGAATTATTTCCCCTGGGAATGATGTATTGCTTCAAAGCTGTTTCTTAAATGAGTGTTGTAAATAATTGTACAACCCTATTTTATTTTTTTTAAAGTAAATGTGGTGACAAATGTCTCCTGGGTTTCTTGCTGGTGCTTCCTAGGACAAAGGTTTTTTTCAGAATCAATGGTCTAAGAAAAAAATTTCGGTACGAATTATTTACGATCCATTGACTATCTAATATATGAAAATATTCTATTATATTCTAAAATAATATTAGCTGTTACACTCGGACAAATGGACGGATTACATAAAAACATAATAAACAGTATTTATATGTCACGGTCACCTGCCCAGATAATGAAATTAAAGGTTATTGCACAGTTATCAACAACGTACGGGCCTCATTCCAGAACTATTTCTATACAGTTCTAGCTTGCTACTTATCTATTTATCTATGTACAGTCCCCCCCCCCCCTCCTCCTACCACAGCCTACAAATAAAAAGAAAAATACTGACAGAGGTATTTTAAATAACACGTCCTAAAAATATTAATTATTTAAACTGCACCTATGTTGTTTATAAATAGAAAATAGGTAAAGATAGCCGGACCTTTTAACGTTTCATCGTCTTTTTGCACTGAATATTGCATTTTAAGCTTTTTTGACGATGATGCAATTATATCCAAGCAGGATGCATTTTTTTCATAGTGCAAAAGTACCCAATTCTAATTATTTGAAGTTATATGGACGTTAGAGGGTGAGCTATCTTTAACTATTTTTTATTTATAAACAAAGAGATTTAAATATATATATACACTATAGAGCGGACATTGGGAACATCAAAAGCTGTGACCACGCGCATGCATTACATCCTCTAGTGAAATTTTGCATTACTACACTGAATATTTATTTAGAAAACATTTTAGCTATTTCCCAGTAGGTGACACTACTAAACATAAGGTTAAAATCCGTTGTAGGCAGCTCGTTAATCACTAACATATTTTTAAATAAATAGTGACGTTACTGGATAACAGAGGGCACTTATTACAATAATTTTTCTTTCTTCTCGAACAATCTACTATAAATAATAAAATTTAAAGATTATTTGGTAAATACACATTATTCTTACGATAATACACTGAAATGACGTTCATTTTTTGCTCCATATCGTGATTTACAATACTTTAATGCACAACCAGGCATATTTTCTTTAAAAATATTTTTAAATTTATAAAATGAATGCGTATTGACCTTTTGACGATGTCACTTAGACACAGACTACTAAGAGGATACTATGCATCACTTAGACTAAATGACAAAAGTTACAGACGACAATTTTGTTACTGATGTCCGGTCTATTACTACTACATTTTAAATGTCTTTGTTTATAAACTATTTAGGTGCAGTTTAAATTATATTTCATCGCTTCATTTTTCAGATATAATTATTCACCAGGTAGTCCCCTTAACCTACAGGTGACTTTGCACGCTTTAAAAGACACTCAACTGACTAAACTAAGTTGGCTGTGAACCGACTTACCCCTGACTCGGGGACGGAGTGAGTCGCCATTCTGAGCTCATTCCTTTTTCGTGCACGGTGACGACAGCACGCGTCTCCTAATAAGATTACACTTTATTCTTGCTTTTTTTTTGTAAAGTATTTATAATTAAAATTTATAATGCCAAAACGAAGTGCGGAAGAAAAAATCGAGCGTTACGAACGCAAAATTAGAAAACTATGCGAACGCGATGTCGCACGACATCGCCGAATACGGGTCATATCATCACAACCTTCCAATAAGGAAGGTAAGCATAGTTATTTTTGTATAATAACGATTCACTACGAGTCAAGATTACGTAACATTTGTTTCGTTAGCACGTGTTGTTTTTTACACGTGTTATCAGCTTTCATCAGAACAGGCCGTGAGCCTTGTTTGTTGAAAAAATTACCATCATCAGGACAGGCCGTGAGCCTCGTTCGTTGAAACAAAATTCTTCATCAGGGCAGGCCGTGAGCCTCGTTCGTTGAAGTAATCCAATTTTCTAATCCTAAAAATATTATTTTTAGGTGTTGAAGACGCTGACCACCCTGAACTAAGCCTTATAGTTAACAAACCTGAGCCCACACTGGAGCCAGAGTCTAGATCAGAGACCAGGGCGGAGAAACCATTAGAGCCACTGGCTTTAGAGGCAACTTCGACGGAACAAAACCCGAACGGTGCATCATCTGAACCAGAATTGGACCCTGAACTTTTAGAAGCCCTCGGTGAGTCCACCAGCGATACCCCAGAGTTTGGAGAAAGAATTCACGAGAGTTTAGCCAAATTGTGGCTTCCTCTACTTGTCAAAGGCTTGCCAAAAGATAAAAAAGGAAAAAATTCCGAAGGAGTACCTAATCCCGGCCAACTGTAGGTTACTGCAAGCACCTAAACTAAAGGCAGAAATATCAGCAGCAGTTATAGACTCTGTAAGAAACAGAGATAAGATCCTGGTAGTTCACCAACAGCAACTCGGGTCGGGGATAACGGCCATTAACAGGGTGCTTAATATTCTCTTAAGTGGGGACGACAAGAAGAACGCTATCCAACATCTTAGCAATGCCTGCCGTATTCTTTCGGATTTGCATACGATAAATACGAATAGCCGCATAAAGCTAATTACACCAAACCTGGATAAGAACTTTCTCCACGTAGTTCAAGATTCAGTAAGAGACGAAACTTTGTTCGGTAACAAACTTTCAGAAAAGATCAAGGCAGCCAGAGCTATTGAACGACAGGGTCTGCAAATCAAAAAGATTAATCCGAAACCTTCCGGCTCTCATTCCACTAGCAACCGCTCTTCTAGTTCGGGAAACTGGTCCGGCCCACCTCGGTACTCAACGAACCGCTGCAACCGAGGTGGGAAGAAAACGTCGACGCAGAGCCGCCGTTCATACCCGAGCTCGACGCAACAGCAGCCAGCGTCGAAGCCTTCAGCAGCGATCAAGTCTCGTGCCCCAGCGCCGCAGTAACTCAGGTACATGCAGGTAGAATTAAATACTTTTTTAATTGTTGGACGAGACTTTCATCCAATTCAGTAATCTTAGATTGGATACAAAATGGTCTATACATACCTTTTTGCAAGGAAGTCTGCCAAACAAACGTTCCTAGCAATACCCTTTCGGAGTTAGAGCACCAGGAAATGTCAACTGCGATTCAAAAGCTGATTGACTTAGGTGTCATAACAGAATGTCTTCCAAGTAGAGACCAGTTTGTCTCTAAAATATTCCTTGCCTCCAAGACAAATGGCGGCAAGCGTTTTATATTAAATTTGAAATCGTTAAATAAATATGTTTCAAAGTTTCATTTCAAGATGGAAGATTATCGAACAGCGGCAAAGTTAATACCCCAATACGGATACTTAGCCACAATTGATCTGAAAGAAGCCTACTTACTAATTCCGATTCATGCTGAACATAGAAAGTATCTAAGATTTCAATTTAAGAGAAACAATCAGACCACGACCTACGAGTTTACGTCAATGCCCTATGGGCTGTCAGTGGCTCCCAGGGTATTTACTAAGATTATGAAAGAAATCGTAACTCACTTGAGAAGCGCGGGCTTTAATTCAGTAATTTATCTAGATGATATTATTCTCTGCATCGGCAACACTTATGAGGATTGCAGATCTAACGCAAATGAAACCTTGAAACTATTGCAATGTCTAGGTTTCGGTATAAATTTTAATAAAAGCTCGCTCCAACCCAAGCAAAGTTGTAAATTCTTAGGTTTTCTCTTTTGCACTAAGAATCTAACCATTTCTCTCCCAGATAATAAACGTAACAGTATTGCGCAATTAGTTCAGAAGTTTATTTGTCTACCCACATGCACCATTCGAGAATTTGCTCAATTAATTGGTGTTCTAACTGCAGCGTGCCCGGCTGTCCAATACGGTTGGTTATACACCAAGTTATTGGAACGTCAAAAATATCTCGCGCTACTTGAAAATCAGAATTATGCGAGTAAAATCAATTTACCTAGTATTATCCTTGAAGATCTTACTTGGTGGACCAATAACATCAAAACATTACATCCACTGCGAAACGCCGGCTATAAAATTGAAATCTACACAGATGCTTCACGAACCGGCTGGGGCGCAGTGCGTGATGAAGAACGCGCTCGCGAAGGGTGGTCAGTTAGTGAACGCAATTACCATATAAATTATCTGGAACTATTGGCGATTTTTCTTGGACTCAAAAGCTTGGCATCTAAAGAAACTAATTGCGCGATACTATTACGGGTAGATAACACTACAGCCATTAGTTATGTAAATCGCATGGGCGGGGTACAATTCCCCCCACTTAAACGGGATCGCTCGGCAAATTTGGCAATGGTGTGAGAAGCGAAAAATTTGGATCTACGCGTCATACGTCAATACTAAAGAAAACTGGGCTGACGCTGAATCTAGAATTATAAACCCTGACACCGAATGGGAACTCTCCCCTTCCAGTTTTCAAACCATTCTCATTTTGGTCAGCCAAATATCGACTTATTCGCCTCCCGCACTAATGCCAAATGCACAAACCTTGTTTCTTGGAGACCGGATCCAGATGCAATGGCGGTAGATGCTTTTACTATAAACTGGAGCGGATGTTATTTTTACGCATTCCCCCCATTTTCCTTAATATTAAGTTGTTTAAGGAAAATAATGGATGACAGGGCTCACGGAATACTTGTTTTTCCTTATTGACCTTCACAGCCCTGGTTCCCCTTACTACAAGGGTTATTAGCATCTGATATTCTGTTCTTGCGCCCTAACAAGAATCTTTTACGATCACATTCCAGGGAACACCACTCTTTACACGCGAGCCTTACCTTGGGTGCCGCGAGGCTCTCCGGCAAGCTTTCACCCGAAGATGCCCACCAGAGGCCCTCAACCTCATGCTAGCATCGCTCTCCGATAGCACGGTAAAACAGTATAATGTAACCTATAAAGCATGGTGGTGGTTTTGTGACAACAGAAATATTAATCCATTTCAGCCATCTATATCTCCTTTATTATCCTTCTTGACTGACCAGTTTAATGCCGGTTGTTCTTACGAAGTCTCAATTCGCATAGATCAGCGCTATCATTACTTCTCGGAAATAATATTGGTTCCGACGAACATGTAAGTCGATTGCTAAAAGGAGCTTATAAATTAAGGCCGAACATTCCAAAATATACACAGACCTGGGACCCTCAAAGTGTTTTAAATCACGTTGCAGGATGGCATCCCAATACGACTTTAAATCTGGAAAAAATTACAAAGAAATTAGCAGTTTTATTAGCCCTCCGTACAGCCCATAGAGTACAAACGCTATCATTAATTAAGTTGGAAAATATATCATTTTCTCACAATAACGCTAAGATCATAATTACTGATCTAATAAAGACTTCCACCCCAGGCCGAGAGCAACCTGTACTCCTGATACCATTTTTCTTATAAAATGTGAATATTTGCCCAGCTACCGTTCTAAAAGATTATATTTCTGTCACAGAAAGTAAAAGAACGGAAAACATAGGCAAACTGTTCCTCACTTACAAGCCACCACATAGACCAGCCACGACGCAATCAATCAGTCGATGGATTAAACAAGTGCTCTCGAAAAGCGGCGTGGATACGTCAACGTTTGGCGCCCACAGCACTCGCCACGCCTCTACCTCAGCTGCGGGCCGCGCGGGCCTCAGCGTTGATGTCATCCGTAAGGCTGCCGGATGGACTCCTACATCGAATACTTTTGCGCGATTTTACAATAGAACCCTTGTTGATGAGGGGAACTGCAAAATCCGCTTGCTTTACGTCCAATCACTAGTTTAAGATTTTTTCTGTATTCATAAATACAAAAACTAATCGGTTCGGTAACTAATAAATATATTCTAAGAAATATATATTATCTTATTACAACGAAAAACTTCCTGCTCTAAAATTCTACCTGGTGAATAATTATATCTGAAAAATGAAGCGATGAAATATAATATAAGATCAAACGAACTTCTCAAGTGAAGTTCGATCATTATTATACGAATCGCTTCATTTGAAGATATAAGCCATTACCCACCCTCCCATACCAGTAGTTTGCTAGCCCTAATGCGGAAAGTTTTTCTCTACACTCTAAAAATAATGAGCTCAGAATGGCGACTCACTCCGTCCCCGAGTCAGCGGTGGTATGGGTAAGTCGGTTCACAGCCAACTTAGCGTAGACAGAGAAACCTATAGACAAATTGACGCCTTCTTTCGCATTCGCACACGAAAAAGATAGATTTATGCATACGTCTTGCATAGAAATGAGATAGAGCGGTGTGATTGTTTGTCCCTTTCTCCGTGCCGGTTTTTTTGTTTAGCCAACTCTACAGTTTGCTAAACAACTTTAACAGCGTAGCGATTTAAGGAGTTTACAAGTTTCTCTGTCTACGCAACTTAGTTTAGTCAGTTAAATGTCTTTTCAAGCGTGCATAGTCACCTGTAGGTTAAGGGGACTATCTGGTGAATAATTATATCTTCAAATGAAGCGATTCATATAATAATAATCGAACTTCACTTGAAAAGTTCGTTTGATCTTATATAATAATTGTGTTTAAAAATATTTTTTTGAGTTGTGCTATTATACGTCTGTCAGTATTTTTCTTTTTATATATTCTACAAATTCGTAGGCTGGGGTGGGGGGGTGGAGGGTCGTACACGCCGTGTATATTTAATAAAGCTAAATTGTAGTTCAATGATTATAATAAATATGTAGCAAGAACGTAGATGATTTAACCTCTCGGGCATGTAGGTTAGAGAACCGACATTTTATTGGATTGGAGTGGACCAACTTAATAACAACTATGGTCAAGCCAAAGAGTATAGTAGTTCAGGCTAAGGACAATTTTTTTTTAAAATGAAGGCAAATATAACTTAGAGTCATTACTATGTTCTTATCCAAAAATAAAAAAAATATCAACAATTAAAATATCGATTTTTTTGTATGCAGGTCAAGTGAGCGTTATGGCGGTTCTCACGCGCCGCGCCGCTCGTGTTGATTTGTACGCGCAAGCACGCGCCACGCGTTTTAACTGGCGCGGTGCGGCGCGTGCTTGCCGAAACTCCGAGCCACTGACTCATTCTGTTTAGCGTAGCGCACCTGATGTCGTGTGAGTCGACCACCTTCAGCCATGGAGCAATGCCACTGAAGAAGAAGGGATCGCTGTTGCTTCAGCCACTTTTGTCTTATTTTGTGGATATCATTTACTTAATAAAATTAACAAAAA